GATAGATAGATAGATAGATGCCAGTGTTAGAAATGATACAAAATTTTACTAAACAAAATAATAGGAATTCAACAATGGTTACTGTATTACATGATGCTATCTTCAAATAAGTTGTTCAGATTACCAGATATAAATGTGCAAGATTCATTTAAAGAAAAAAAAGAACAATAACAAAGAAGTTATAAGAAATTAAAAAGAGGAAAAATAAAGAGAAAACAAAATTTAAGCATTAATTACTCCTTTCAAAAGACCAGCAAAAATTGACAATATAATTATCCAAACTATTCTGAATATGTACCTAAATATATCTTTTTCCCTTTCATTTGTCCTCCTCATCCTAGTTTTTCTTTCCCATTGAACAGTGTCTTTCCCTTTTATAGTATCTGTTGTACTTTTTAGGTTTTAATTATTCTTTCAGGTTCTTATACTAGCAAGACAATACAATGTTTGTACGTGTGAGTCTGATTTATTTCATTTAGTCTCTAACTGCGTCCATTTATCTACAAAAGCCTCAAGTTTATCTCTTTATTATAGCTGAATCATTTGTCATAGCTAATCTCGCCCCCTTTTCTGTCTCCAGAACGCTTTCTCACGGTGTGCTGTGTCAGTGTGGGATTCCTGTCTGGTCCTGCCACGTCAGCTGTGGAACGCATCAGTCTGGCGCTGACATGTGCGTTCCAGTGGGTTGCGGTGCAGTCAGGTCTCCTTGGCATCTGCATTGTTAGAGTGGCCACACTCTCTCCACTCCTGCAGCCAACCTGGTTTGCCCTCCGAGGAGCAGCAGCAGCTGTCTGTCCTCATGTGTTACATTTTGGCAAAGGCAGGGAGTGGACAGTCACTTAATGTTGGCAGTCTTGAGCGTCGCAGTTCTGAGCTTTTCCGGAATTGTCCTTGGGTCTCTCTGATGTTCTAGAACATCTCGTAAGCTGAACTGAGAATGCTTCCTGGCGTTTGTGTTCTCCAGAAGCATTTAAGATTAAGATAGTTGTTCTTTGCTCTTTAAAACTCCCTTATAAACTTGTCTTGAGCTGAAATTTTCTTATTAGAAAGGTTTTTGTAAGAAGTGCTTCATACTTACTTATTTTAGTTCGGTGGTTTTTTTTTTTTCTTTTCATTGGGAAATGTTTTGAACACATAAACAATTTTATAACATTTATCAAGGAGAAATAGAAATTTGAAACCAGCTGGCTCTTTCACATTAAGGAATTATTTCTGTTGAGGTGAGGTAATGGCCCTGACTTACACTCTTCGAAGAGTCCTCTTGCTGTAGTCCTTATGCTAAGAGCAGACAGATGACCACAGGGCTGGCACGGTGAATGGGGTGGGCCAGACGGGCGTGGCTGCGGGGCGGACACGAAGTGGATATGGCTCTTAAACCTTCTTAGTGATTTCTGATTTGGTTACTGATTTATAGCTAAATTTTGTTGTTATAGTATCATGTTCCTTAAAAATTACAAAGACTGCCTTCGTAGAACGATACACAAACAAGTTTGTAGCTACTTTATGCTTGCTTGAAAAGAATATGTAATCCTTTATTATTGGGCTGGGATTTTGTATTTGCCCGTTAAATGAAATTTTTTAATGTTTGGTTTCCCTTTCCCATTTTTAGCCGTTTTCTTTCTTTCACTAGATGAGATTGCTTTCTCTGTTCCCCATCATCTGCGGATTGCCCTGAGTGGAGGTTAACGTGTTCTCTGTGTTGCATACGTTGGTAGTTGAATTTAATCACAGTGGTCATATTCACACTCTTTTCCCAAGGCTGTTGCAGAGTGTTGAGGTGCTTGTTGGTCATGAGCTTCCAGTAGTTGTCTTCTTTCTTGGAGTATTAGCAGCTGTGACATTTAGCGATACAGAGGTTTTTCTTTTGTTGTTGTTATTTTTTTAATAGGGCTTTACTATGTAGTTCGACCACATCTTGAACTCGCCCGGGTTGGTCTCAAATTCATGGCAGTTCTCTTCCCACATCAGCCTCCCATATACTGGGATTATAAGCATATGCCACCATGTCCAACTACAGTCTTGATCCCTTAGTTCATTAACAGTTGTAGAATGATAAATGCATTCTATTTAGCTGTTCCTTTCCTGGCTGAAATGCTTTTATAATGATAAACTTACTTGTGTTTATTATTTGCTTGTTTTTGTATTTTGAGACCAGGTTTCACTATGCAGTTCAGGCTGGCCTTGAAACTCCCTGTGTACCCTGGGATGGCCTTGAACTTGTGGTGATCTTCTTGCCTCGGCCTCCCAAGTGCTGGGATTACAGACATGTGTCACTATGCCTACATTATTATTTGTTTATTGGGTAGTATATTTTTCCTTCATGTGTTGGCTTTCAGTGTAGAAAACTTTTCTCCTTGTCTAGAGGTAAGCTCACTGGCTTAACCATATCAAATATTTCAGCCCATGGCATTTATTATTCTTATTGATTTGCAAATTGTCACATTTTCAGTAGGTGGAAGCCTTTTCAGATCCTTTTGACATGACCACAGTCTTTGATAGCTTGTTAAAAGCAATCTAGATAGTATGTTCCAAGCGCATTACATATGTTTCTTTCTCCAGTGATCTCAGATTCCTTTTAATGAGAAATGGTATTTAGGTATCACAATGTGGATATTAAAGGCTATACATTTTTATAGGATCAGACTAAAAGATACTTCTTTGTGATTTTAGTGGACACAACTCATTTTAATGTGATATGAAAATTCTTTGCTTATAATAAGGAATTGATTTTTATTACTGAGAAAGTGTTAGTATTGATAAAATACTTAAATATTTCAGCTGAATTGCTAGTATCTCATTTTAAAAGCTTTTTAATAGATTTCTAGCAGATATTAATAATTTATTGATTTTTAAATGTAATTGTATTAACTAAATGAAAATTTTAACATGTTCAAACAATGTTATATATTTTAATGTAAGTCTACTTCACAGACTTTAATAGTGCTTTGCTAAAATAATATTTCTTTTTCCCTCTAGGTTATTTTAGTGTCTGCCAATAAACTGACTCGTTATATTGAACCTTGCCAGTTAACAGAAGATTTTGGTGGAAGTCTCACCTATGACCACATGGACTGGTTAAATAAGAGGCTGGTTAGTACATTTCAGTGAGATAAAATATTATTGTATATAGATCAGACATTTAACATCTTTACTATGATGATCAACAAAAAATATAGAAGATTTTCCTTTTCACAAAAATGAAGAAGTTCATTGGATGCCACATTGAGGACAAATAATCTAGAGTTAGACTACATAATGAGAATCCTGATGCTGGTTGCTGGGTGTATGGCCTTCAGGATATATTTAATCTCTCTGTGCCTCTTTTTCAGATCTCTGATACGGTAGCAATAATAGTCATATCTAGTAGGATTGTGGGTAAAACAAACTGAACATAACATTGCCGTATGTAGTGGCACACGCCTGTAATTCCAGCACTTGGGAGGCTGAGACAAGAGGAGCATTGCAAGTTCAAGACCAGCCTGGGCTACAAAGTGAGCTCAAGACCAGCCTGAACTGCATAGTGAGAGCCTGTCTTAAAAAGACAAAGCAAAACAAAAACATCCATATATCTAAAGCAATTAGGCTAGCACCCAATATGCACCTTGTGAAAGTTACTGTCCCATTGTCATCAGTAGCATCAATAAAAGTTGTAAAGCATTTTAATGATAGGCTAGCACAATACCTTTAGAGGTAATCTAATTGATACATCCTCTTCAGAGAATATTTGTCAGTTTGAGGAGTAGGTTTGACATAGTAAATTTTTCTTTTCTAACTATGTATCTTCTTTTTTGTCCAGACTTAACCATGACTGAATAATATGATATGACATTGTTTTAATGAACTGCTGAAAGAGCAGTTTTAAATCAGTTTAGCTTATGTGTTAATAATACAGGAGAATGATAGACTTGCTCTCTGAATGTACGAATGTTTCTGTCCTGTTTGCACAGTGATATCAGACACATGTGTTTCTACTTTATTAAATATATTTGAACAGATTTGTCCTAATTTTTAAAGAACTATCTGAAGAAATCATGTTTAAAGTAGAACTAATTTCTTTTTATGTTACATGCTTACCTATAAAACTTTAAAAGAATTTTTAATAGTATATGTTTGCAGTTTGTAGTGAATATACTCAGTACAGGTGTTAGATATATATTTACATATTGCATCTTCATCATTTTTACTTTTTTTTTTCCATTTTTACTCGTGATCATTTTCTCAATTCCTCTTCTCTCACTGCTTAGACAAAATACCCAACACCCAAAATTAAGGAAAGAAAGATTTATTTAGCTCACAGTTAGTGGAGGTTTCAGTCCATACTCAGCTGGCTCCAAGGCAGAGGGGCATGTGGCAGAGGACAGTAGTTCTTGGAGGCAGAAAACAGCACAACAGCAAGAGCAAAATGGCAAGGAGCAGTGGCAGCAAGGGCAACAGAGGGCAAGTCTATCTCCATTCAGTTGCATTCAGGCTATCCAACCCAGGCTGGGTGTAGCACTCACACCCATAATCTCAGGGGACCATGAGTTAATCACAAACTCTGGAAGTCCGCCCCATGACTTCATGAGGCTAGACACAAACCATAATGATCATCTTGTATTTTGCTCTGTAAATTATTTATATTTTGGCTTTTAGAGAAACCATGTAATATTTAACCTATTGTGACTTATTTCATTCAAAAGACAAGTTTTTCTGAATGAAGAATAAAAATAATTTAATATATTTCTATTTTTAAAAATTTTTTTCCATTTCAACCGCTCATTGTTTAAGGATGGTTTTGTCTTGTTATGTATACTCCTCTGCCTCAGTGGTTGAATTGTACTGAGTGACTTCCTGGGAATGGAGAGAATCCTAATTTGGTTACTTACTAAAAATGCTATATGATATCCATTCTTTATATTCTTATTATGTTAATGAAATTTTGTATGGTAGGTTTTTGAGAAGTTTACAAAGGAATCTACTTCATTATTAGATGAACTTACTTTGATTAACAATGGGAGTGATAAAGGAAATCAACAAGAGAAAGAAAGGTAGGTGGCCACTGGTGTGTAATGGGATTCTTGCAAACTTAGGGTTGCTCTGTTAGACGATACCTGTTAGTGCAAGCTGAAGGAATTATGATGAACAGGTCTCCACTGAAAATTGACGTACAGTAGTCATAAAAATTTGCCTTTTATATAAAGCATTCTAATTTGAAAAACATTTATTTACAGAAACTACTTGTTGATGAATAGTAATGTATTTGTATTTTGACAACACTGGAAAATACTAAATTGGAAGAGCATTTTTAAAATAGAATATTGTATGTGTTTTTTTCTGGTAAAAAAAATATGAAAGCGGTTTCAACTTTAAATGAAGTTACTATAACTTTATTTAAAAATATGTTAATACTAAAGTGCCTGGTTTGTAGGGCTTCCTCTGTCCTTTGTAGTATGAATTTAGTTAGTGAATTTGTTGTTTTATGATACTGGATGAAGTAATTGTTGAGGAATATTCTCTATATGTAACTACCTGGCTTTGCCATCTTAACAGATTTCCATTAAATTTTTCATTATTAGTTTCTATTTTTCTCTTGGCCAAGAGGCCATGTTCCCCTCTTCTTGGTAAAAAGTACTTTAGAAGCATATTAGCTCTTTCTGGCCTCTTCATTACTGGTCAGTAGAACAATAATTTTTTATTATGAATTTTTTTTTAATATAGTACAGAATCTTCAAGGCCTCACTATGTAGATTTGACTTAGTTATTCTCCTGTTTTCAGTATCCCAAGTGCTGGGATTATAGGCGGGCACCACCACACCTGATTGCAGTTGCTGTCTCAGCTGGCCCCGGGGGCGAGGCCGGCATGGCACCTTGGGGATCGAACCCCGGCTGCTGCACTCTGCCTCAGCGGGCACTTTAGTCCACTGAGCTGTCTGGCTGGCCCAGAAAAGATTTTATTAGGAATCAGCAGGCATCCTTTTTAAATCTCCTTTGTATCTGACCTTGAATATAGAGGAGGCCCTTGATAAAATGATCTTATCCTGTGAATCCAGATATAGTCACATACCAATAAACCAAAGCAACAAGGTAAGAGGGATGTGAGATGATTTTATCACTAAATCTTCACTAAAACTAAGTCAGAATGTGAAAATGAATAGTTTGAATGTAAATCCAGTGTTAACATAAGCAATTAGGAATATTGCTATTCTGTAGATAACACATAAAAATATAAATATTTAAATATGACATGTGCATGTATGCAGCTTGCTAATAAACACAGAGGAATTGAAGATGTCACACACAGCACTTCAGAAAAATTAGCAGACATTAGTAAATATCTTTGCTTTCTGGTTAGGCCATCAAAGTGAGTTCGATGTTTCCAGTTATATTCCTCAGGAAAAACTTCCACAGAGAGTCCGCAGTGAGAATGTGAGGATGCCCACGTATTTCCCTCGTGAGGATGGCAGACATTACAGATTAAGGGTTCTGAGCAAGCAGTGCCTCAGGGAAACCTGCTTAATTGATTGCTGCCTTAGAATGGCCTGTCTTCCTGGGGCAGTGGGACCCATTTTTCTTTACTAGTAATATTTTATCCTGTGTTTTGAGAAATGCTTTAGGAAATGCTGGTTCCCTATGTCTGCTTAAAATAACATCTTGTATTTGTGAGCCCACCTTCAAGTTACTCATCTTCAAGTTATTGCTTAGCTTCTTTGGCACTCAGACACTAAAGTTCCTGCTCTCATAAAATTTCATCAGCTTTTCAGCATGAATCGCCAGGAAGCTTCTAGGCTCTGCGCGAGGTGAGGACGTAGATCAGCTGACAGAAGTGGAAGATTTGGTTTAAGGTTGATCGGTTACTGCCTGTAGCAGCATGTTCCTTAGCTTTGACTCGCCAGTTCCTTATCTTGCCTTAATTTTCTTTTTCTCATGTGTGTTTTAAGAAAATAAGACAGACATCCAGCTGCACAAGAAATATAATGAGATTCAGGAAGAGGGTGTCTGGCCACCTCCGTGTGTGTGTGTGTGTGTGTGTGTGTGTGTGTGTGCGCGCGCGCACCACGCACCACACCCGTGCCCTGGGGGAGGGTACGGCCACTAGCAGATGCTACTATGGATAAGTGCAGAGTGCTTGTGTGGTTTTTACCGTGTATTTCTGGGTTGCTGTATAGCTAGAAATGTCATTTTGAGCTTTACAAAAATGGATTCTTTTCTCTGCATTTTACACTGTACTATAAATAATAGCAGTTAACTATTTTTCCCCATAGTATGATTTTTATGATTTAAAATTTTGATTTGTCACACTGATATTTCTTTGGCTATTAGTATTGAGTTTCTTTAGTAGGCTTCTTTATATGTAGGAGAAATTTGGTGAAAATAGAATGTTTTAGGTTTTCATACTTACATATTTCTGTTTTGATACTGTACATAAGGAATTTCTCATGGGCAGAAATGTTATTTTCAAAAATTATTTTGTTGGTGCTTGCCAGGTCTGTGGATTTAAACTTTCTTCCATCAGTTGATCCTGAAACAGTGCTTCAGACAGGTAAGATGAAAAAGCATATTTATTATTATTAGTGAAAGGAAAATTTTGAACTGCTTTTTGCTTTAAAATATCTGTATTATTAACCTTTATAGCATTAAAAAATTATACCCTTGAAATATTTTGACTTATTTTTCCTTTGTTTTGTTTTCTGGTGTTGTGTATTAAATCCAGGGCCACACACAAGCTAAGCAGGTCCTCTAAAACTGGTCTGTATCCCTAGCCCTGAATTTATTTCTTATTCTATGAAGTAAAGATAAAATTTTTAATTCATTTAGTTACTATGAAGATTATTTGCAGGCATTATGTGGCAGGCCTTGTGTTTTCATATTTCATTGTCCTAATAACCTTTTGAGATAATATTTTTTTCTCTGAGAAAACAAAGATGTATGTATACACACATGCACACACACACACACACACACACACACACACACAGAAAAAGCTTGGCCAAGATCAGTAAGTCTTATGCTGTCTCAACAGACCTCAAGAGGTGGGAAGGGAAAGCAGTGGCTACACTGTGGTGGAGGCGTCTGTCCAAACCTCAGCGTGTGCTGTGGTGTGCCGTGACCTGCAAACAGCAGGCGCTCAGGGATGCATGCTTCTGGTAGCTGTTTCCTGGATTCTGTGAAAGCAAACTGGAATTCTTTCCAGGGCGGGAGATTTTGTGTCTAATCACATTTTCCTAAGAATAACTCACAGTTCTAATTGGAATATGTGCCAGATACGGCTCTTAAGCATTTTAGATTATTTTTTTTTTTATTTTTATGGAACCAGGGCTTGAACTCAGGCCCTTGAATTAGCCAGGAAAATGCTTTTTCCACTGAGCCATCTCCTCGGCCTAGCATTTTAGATTCTAAACATAATGTTTAGGTCCTAAACATATTAATTCATTGACTTTTCATAGTCCTGTGAAGTAGGTTCTTTTATCACCCTGATTTTAAGAGGGAAAACTGGAGAGCAAAAAAGTCAAATAGGTAGGTAGCCAGTAAGTGCTAGCGAGGACCTGAGCTGGGCAGCCTGGCTTCAGAATGTGCATGTTCTTTGAAATAATTATATTGTGTTATTTCTCCTATGGAAATGGTGTTCATAAGAGACACAGTTGACAAACTAGAGCAAAAGAATGTATTGTAATATTAATGTTGTTCATACACATGTATAGAGTTTTTGCAAAGATTTAGATAGATCTTAAATATGTGCACAAATATTTAGAACAGGCATTTTTCCATGATAATATGTAATGAATAGCAAAAAGATTTTCAGTGTCTTTGTTGTATTGATTCAGTTGTCCTAAATTTTCCATATGAGTAGATCATTTTCCATAGGGAACAAAAATATTTGTAATTTATGATTTATGTAGAGAATTGCAGTAGACTTATCAGTAAAAGAACTACTCTATGTTTTAAAACTTAATTCCATGTATATATTTAACATTCTGGAAAGCCTCTTATTTTAAGCCACTGAATTAAGGAGCTTTTAAAATTTGTATTCTAAAATTAACTTTATATGCCACTAAGTCTTATTCTACTTGCTATTAATTTTTAAGGTAGGGATTGGAAGAATATAAAATAGAAAGATTTAGAATAATCTAGATACTTTCCTTAAAAATTAAAAGTAGCTCCAAACCATAATAAAAGCTCTGTTTCTATATATAAAACAACATTTAAATTTAGGGGAATATTTTGTAAATGGCAATGGAAAGATTTTAAATATTGGTATATTATTTTGGGATCTAAATAGTAATCAGTTTTATCCTTGAAAAATTTCTTAAACTTATTTTCAAGTTATGTATGTACCGACAGATTGAGGTTCCCAATCTATTATTAATTTTTATTTATCCTGTATATATGGATTTCCTATATTAGCTTTCTGTAAGTGCACCAAATTCACTGTAGGTCTTAAACTAGTGTGGCCTGTCATGAATCAACAATTAATATGTTGTAGAGATTCCTATAGAGATTATGTAAATATTATTTCATATTAATAATAAGAACTGTCTTCGTTTATGCTAATCATATGTTCATTTCACTGTTATCCTTCTAAGTTCTTTGAGTGAGAATATAGGTCAGTTCTGACATTCTGCAACATACTGCTTGGGTTAGTGCCATTAGCCAGAAATCCCAGAGTGTGCTTTGAAATATCATTGACGTATACAGTGTCCTGAGTAACGAATCTACCAATAAAAAACGTGATAAATGGAAAATTTAAAACACTGTATATATTATGTAACATACATTTGGCATACATATTCATAGTATGTGATAGGGTATTTTCATATGTTTTCTAGCTATATATGTATCATACTGTATCCACATGTATATTTTCATATTGTACAATTTTTGTACTTAATTGTGCAGTTTTTGTACTTACAACTGCATTTTACTACTTAGGGCTCGCAGGTAGGTAGATTGGTAAATGAATATGTTTTTAAAACATAGGACTAGAATTTAGCAGATTGAGAAGTCAGAAATATAGTTCTTAATGGGCATTAATTATGAATATCTTTTCTTTGTAAAGGACATGAATTGTTATCCGAATTACAGCAGCGGCGGTTTAATGGCTCCGATGGAGGAGTCTCGTGGTCTCCGATGGATGATGAACTGCTTGCGCAGCCACAAGTTATGAAATTACTGGATTCTCTCCGAGAGCAGTATACTCGCTACCAGGAAGTTTGTAGGCAGCGGAGCAAACGCACACAGTTAGAAGAGATTCAGCAGAAGGTGATGCAGGTAGGGGTGTCTGACTTGAATGTATGCTCCTAATTCTAAATTGATTTTCCTTGGTAATTTCTATTGGGTGACTGACTTTGTGTTTATACTTATGTTACAAAGAGAACTTTATTGACATTTTAAAATTGGATTTTAAAACTTTTCAGCTAGTATTTTTTTATACAGTGTATCTGAATTAAAGTAATATTTTTACAATGATTACTTCCCCTACCTGAGAATAGCTGTCTTGTTTCTTCCTTTCTGTCTTTCCTGCTCTTCCTTCTTTCACAAATTGAAATAAGGACCATAACACGTCTTTTGAAAGGCTGGTGTTCAAGAGAAGCTGGGCACTCAATGAGTGATACCTATGTTACTTCTGTTGAATGACATTTTGAAGACCTAGTTTAGTTAGTGAAGTTTTTTCTCTGAAAGGTCAAATATTTAAGCCGTATAAGCAAATCTTTATTGCAGTTGTGCTGCTTTCTTCCGACATTGTAGTAAAAGTGCAGAAGTAGGCATGTTAATGAAGGTCAAGCCCTTTCTCCAGTTACACTTCATGTACAAAAATGGACCGTAGGCCAGAATTGGCTCATCTGGTGTATAGTTTGCTGACTTTTGAGCTTGGAAGAGCATTAGAGTTTCATAGTAAAAAAGAGTTGAAGGTAGGAGTTGGACCATGGAATATGAATTCCAGGCCATATGCTGGAGATCTGATCCATGATGGCCACAAACGTTTCTAAGATTTCTGAGCATGCATTAATTAAATGTGACTTTTTCAAGTAGTTGGAGATTATCTTTGAAAACCACAAATAGTGGCCTTCATTGTGGTACAGACTGTGATTCTAAGTCCACGTTACTGGGGCTGTGCCCTTCTCTCACTTCATCAGCCTGACCTTGGGAAGAAAAGTCTGTGCTTGCTTTCCTCCTTAGTAAACAGATAATGGTGACTTCCTCATTAAATGGGACTGTCATGAAGATTTAACAAGTACTTTTTAAACAAAGTGTTTAGTGCCTGACGCATAGCAATTTCTGGCCGTTGAGGTATAGGCACAGAGAACACAAGTGATAGGGTTAGCCTAGCACTTTAGCTTTGCTAACTGGGACATGTGGTCAAAGATAGGGACAAAGGAATTAATATAGTGACAAAATGATTGTTGGGCCAGCTCGATTGGATATTTGTACTGAGGTGATGGTGGTAGTGAGATTATTTTTTAAAATAGGTATCATTACAGCTCAGTTTTCTTCATAAGGGCTACATGTTAATTGATGGACACATTTAATATTCACACATAGTGTTTTTCTGTACTTTCTCATGTATCACAATGTATAGAAAGATCTGTTTTCCTTACCAAAATGATTCCTGAAATGTAATTGTATAATACATTTTATTAAGTTTATTAGTACAGTTTAGATATACACAATGATCACATTCATCCTAGGGAGCTTGTACACATATATGTTATATCCTGTCACCTCCTTTTCTTCCAGTCCCCTCCTATCCCTCCATCCTCCTTCCTCTTCTTATTTACAAACTTTGTTTCTATTTCATCCTTCTCTTATCTTTTTTCCTCTTCCTTCCTTTCTCCCACACCCCTACCTAATTTCCCTTTCTTTTGAACCATTTCTTCCTATTTCACTATATTTATTAAACACTTCAGTTACCCTTTTGGTTTCTCACACCAAAAAACAATCCAGTATTTGCACGTGTGTCCACTTCATTTCACTTAAAAGAGTGTGGCCTTAAGGTGCCTCCATTTACCTAGGAATGTCTCAGGTTTATCCTTCTTTATGGGTGAGTAATACTCCATTGTATAAAAAAACATCTTTTTATCCATTCCTTGGTTGATGGGCATTTGGGTTGTTTCCAAGATTCAGCTGTTAGGATAGATATATAGTTACATTCTCTTAATGAATAGAATGATTTGTTCTAATGGTGTTTGTAAATAGGATCTCAAGTCTGCATCTTGTACAGCAATTAACCACTAAGAAGAACGTATGCAGTGTGTTAATTATTGAAACTGTCCTAGCGATTTGATTTGAAACTGTCTCATTGCTATTTGTTTATCAATAAAATTATGAAAAAAAAGATTCAGCTGTTATAAACTGTGTGCTGTAAACAGGTGTGCAAATATCACCTTGATATGTTTTTAATTCCTGCTGGATATCTTCTTGGAAGAATTAAAACATAGTAATACATATTGATTTCATAGCGTGAACTATACTATCTTTAGTCTTCCAAATTTGGGGAAAATGTAAATAATTTATATAAAGATAACCATAAAGTTGATTATGTTTATGTTAAATCAGTGACAATTGACTTATTCTAAGATTGTTTACTGAGTTAGTGCTGAAAACAGTGCGACATAATAGCTCTATAAACTATGTGTTTATTAGTAACATGATAGTTATCAGTCATTTATTCCCCACAGTTCAAATTAGCAGTATCAGACTTCATATGATATGCAGATAGTCTGCATACAGGTGCTGCTGGAAGAGTTAAAAACTAGATTTCACAAGGGCCGGTGAGATAGCTCCGCAGACTAAGCACCTGCTTAGGCAAGCGCGGGAACCAGGTTTGATTCCCGGCTCCATATACTGTGCCCCCCCCCCCCCCCCCCCAGGTATACTGAGTTGGCCAAGAGTCCAGGCGTGGTGGCGCACACCTGTAATCCCAGCGCTGGGGAGGCTGAGAACAGGAGGGATCACTGTGAGTCTGAGCTGCATAATAAGACCCTGCAGAAAATACATTTTTTTAAAAAATAGATTTCATGTGCTTTGGGGTAGGAGACAGTGCCATTTCACTGAGATGTGTTAGCACCATTCTCATTATGGTGGCAGTAGTTACTGCCAGTGCTGCACATTTATTTCTAGAATCATCATGGAGTTTTCTTCCATTGTAGAGTGGAGTTATAGGCTCAAGACAGAATGCAGTCTGAGGTGCCTAAGTGTACAGCTGGGGACTGTATTATTGGTCCCATGCCTTCTCACCAGGTCAGATATTGGACATTTGCTTGACCTGCCTTTCTGCCTGGTTTATCCTCACATATTTGCTGCTATTCTTGTATACAGTCCTTGGAAATCAGCCTAGCTGTGAAAGAATAGTGCATAGTCACAAACGTTCTTGGTCTGTGCAAATATTTGTACAGTGGATTTTAAAACTCATCTCTAAGGTTATATCTTGCATATAAATGCAACCATATAAAGGGTCATATTGTTATAGATTGGGCTTAGAACTGTTTCTGTAGTAGATTAATATTCAGATTAACTGGCAAGATGTGATTGAAATTAAGTAACTGGGTTTTCATGCCAAGGAAATGTCTTTACTTGATTTAAAATTTGTTTTAAAGTTTATGGCTCTTCTTAAATTTCATACTTAGTCTTTTTTGTCCTACTGTAACCATACCTGAGACTGAGTAAATCTAGAGAATAGAGATTTTTGTCTCACATTTCTAAGGTTAAGAATTGCAAGTGTGAGAGACCAGCATCTGGTAAAGGCCTTCTCATTGGGTCACCCGGTGGTAGAAGGCAGAGGGACCGGAGAGTCTGTGTCTAAGGCCAGAAGGAGTGCATGCCGCTGGGAGATGGCGGTGACTCACTTTTCCAAGAAATCCACTGTCAGTAGTGACATTAGCCTGCCCTAAAGGGCTCTGTCTGCTTTAACCACTTAAGTTCCAATCCCATCTCTGATGTACTATGAATTAAATGTACAGCATATGAACTGTGGAGAACATAAGCCATAGCACATCTAATGAATTCTGTTTCCCCAGTTATGAATTCTTTTAGTGTACCTTTTTTTGGTTTCTACATGTTTAAATGTTATTTCATATTTTAAAAACTATGCAAAGTATATTCTTAATTAAAAATTTAAATATTTTCAATATTTGTAGAATTTATGCATTGCTGGTGAAGTAGTTACTAAAAAATTTTAAATTTATTTTCTTTCAGAGTTTATATCTGTAGTTACATAATAAATGATAAATGATTCTCTAAAAGGAAATGGCAAAAAGGTTTTAAAATGTTTATGTAAGCTTCTTTAAAACTTACTCTTTATTTTCATGTTTTGGTTTTGGATACAACAGATAGTTCGGGGATTTCTTTAAAGACCCAGCAATCTTACTGGAAACTTGGAAACAGACAGACTTTGTAGTGAGAACGAGCTCGGAAAGGCAAGCAGGTCAACAGTTTTCCGTGTCATCTACTGTCCTGGGGGTTTCATATACAGTTACTGATGCAGGCACTGGCGCTGGGTAGTAGGCATCATTAGTATCCTTTAAGGTGAGGAGCCAGTTTTTCCCTAGTGGGAACAGAGCCGCTTAGTGCTTTCTCTCCAACCAAGATGCTTCTCATCTGGGTCTTTTGTAGAAGAGCAATTTCTGTCTTGGCTAACAGAGAGGGCATCTGCACCTCTAAAAATGGTTTACACAAAAGATCTAAGAATATAACAGAAATGTTGAGGAACAAAGCTTTGTTATTTCCAGAGCATCTGCCAGGTGGAGTTTGTAGGTGAACTTAGGGCTCCGAAAGCAGTTCAGCCCGGTGCAGTTCTCATACTTGCGCTACTGCAGTGAGCCAGTCACCAGAGTTCCTTTGACTTTTTAATTTTTTAGTTTTTCACTTTAACATTAAGCTTTAAAAGGAGAGGATGGAAGTTAATATAGTAGTATTCAAGGCAATATATTAATGTTTAAGGCATTAGAATATGAGGATGGAAAAGCAAAGAAATCAGGAAAAATCATTTCCTTGTAAGTAAAAATCATATATATTTGAAATGTATTCAATTCCAGTAATATCTTTAAAAATACATGAGAAAATTTCTGTGTTTTTCAGTTGGCAGTATTTTTAAGCACTAGTTTTATATCTTGCAAAAATATGGAGAAAATCTCAATTATTGAGTATTTTAGATTAGAAATGTGTTTGACAGAACAATTGTGTAGTCTAGACCAACAGCATTACTCATCAATAAAGCCAAGAAGGTTTTCTAGGGCTGGGGAGGTGACTGAGTAGCTCAGTGATGGCCTGGCAAGCACAGGGTGGAAGGAGGGGGAGAGAGAGAGAGAGAGAGAGAGAGAGAGAGAGAGAGAGAGAGAGAGAGACAGACAGACAGACAGACAGACAGACAGAGACAGAGACGGCCTGGCAAGCACAGGGTGGAGGGAGGGGGAGAAACAGACAGACAGACAGACAGACAGACAGACAGACAGAGACAGACAGAGACAGAGATGGCCTGGCAAGCACAGGGTGGAGGGAGGGGGAGAGAGAGACAGAGACAGAGACAGAGACAGACAGACAGACAGACAGACAGACAGACAGAGACACAGACAGACAGACAGACAGACAGAGAGACAGACAGAGACAGAGATAGCCTGGCAAGCACAGGGTGGAGGGAGGGGGAGAGAGAGAGACAGAGACAGACAGATAGACAGACACAGACACAGACAGAAAACTAAGAAGGTTTTCTGTTTAAAACCTGTCTCAGGAAAACAGTACAGAATTAGAGAAAAATGCCATCATTGCTGTCTCATTCCACCCGTATGTTTTCATCATATAGTTGCTTAGAAATGAGGGAAGCTGAAAAGGGTTTGTGCCCAACCCTGGGGAGGCAGAGTCCTGTGGGCTGGGTAGGAGTTGCCTGAGGTTGTGTACTGCCTGACCGCAGTTAAGGCCGGCTGCGTGCCGGGTGGCTGCGGCGGTGGGAGAGCATCAGGCAGAGACGTCGGCCTTCATCTAAAGGTCTGTACAAACGCAGTCTCATGGTGCATCATGGGAGTGTTATAGTTACAGTGTTACATGAAAAACTTGAAACAAATTACTTGTACTCTGAAAACCAAATATGGAGTAGTATGTGGAAACTACATGTAGAATGTTAGTGGAATGAGATGTACATGACTTTTCTTTTGGAAGTGGTACTTTAATATAATTTTAAAAAATGAAGATGCATGAACTGTTACAAATTTAAAAAGTGAATGTATGTTAACCCGGTAGCAGCAAAGGCGCACTGTGGAGTTACATGCTGTGCTATATGGCTCTGATACACAGTTCTAACAACACTGGGTACTGGGTGCCTGTTAATAAACTGCAGATACCTGCTTTCACTTCTTGGGAGCAATCCTGAGTTTAGATTCAGGGTAGAAGGGAGCCACTCTTCTTGAATTCCTTATCCTAAGTTAAGCTTCTTTGCTATGCTTTGTTATGCTATTCTTTATGTTATGCTATTCTTTATTTGTTATGCTATTCTTTGTTATGCTTCTTTGCTATGAATTTCTTTACTATGTGAATGTGGGTGTGGAGTTAACAAGTCTCTCCTCTGGAGGATTTGATCCTTGCTTAACTGGCTAGCTCTTTTTTTTTTTTTTTTTCCTGAAAACCTGAAAGTTACTGGAATATCAACTGTCAGTAGCCCATATTACTTAAAGTAAAAATTATACCAGTACCATATGAAATATGATACTGGAATGACTCCCATGCCTGCCTCATCCTGCCCACTTGAGGAGCTCAGACAAATGACACCTAGCACTATCACCTGGCAGTGTAGCCCTCCTCTAAGCAGACTGGTACTGGTGGGACTGGTCCTGTGGCTCTATTTGGTGATCTCAGAAGACACCTAGTCTATTCCATAGTGTAATCTATGTTAGTAATTCGTTGTCTTTTAAAGTGAGAAACCACTATTTTAGGCCTTGTTTGTTAATTATTCAGTTTTAGATTTGCTTTGGAAAGAATGTGAGCCTGTGAGTCAGGACACATGCCTGTTGTCTTAGTTTTGCTGTAAAGATTGTTACCTTGGGCAAGTCGCTTAATCTCTGAAACTCAATTTTCTTAAGTAATAGATAAGAACTTTGACCAATGTAATTTATGATGTCCCTTCCACCTCCAAATCCTGTAATTTTCTGATTCTCTTATCATAAGTTAATTTTTAATCCTCTTTTATAGAAGCATTCCACATTTCATGTAGTCTAGCAGATGATCAGATAGCTGAAAGCCTAAGGTGCTGAGGTATGCATTCCTCCATGTTTAGGGTTTGGAAACATTGTCACATTACAGATTTTTAATTCAAAAAGAAACATTTACTTCTTATGCTGAATTTAAATTAAAAATATATGACAAATTTTGGGAATGGAAGACTAGTTAATTAGGATGAAAATTTAAAAAGCTTTCAATTATTTGAAAATTTTGCTTCACCTTTGATTTTTAGGTCGTGAATTGGCTTGAAGGGCCTGGATCCGAACAGCTGCGAGCCCAGTGGGGCATCGGTGACTCTATCAGGGCTTCCCAGGCCCTGCAGCAGAAGCACGAAGAGATCGAGAGCCAGCACAGTGTGAGGCTTTTTCTTCTGCTCTGCAAGTTACAGTGCTGTTGCTGATGCGCATCGCGGTACTAAGTACTAGGTTGCTGTAAACATTGTTAAAGGACATAAAACACAGTGTGCTGAATGCTCAGAGGTCACAGAGTCCATTTTGACCACTTAGTCCATGCGTATTACTAAGGTTTTGCTTCCAGTTCACTTCAATTCTATTGTCATAGAACTGTGACAAGAGCAATAATGCAACAGTAGAGGTTTCATCAGTGCCTCTGTGACAGAAGGTCCTTCCTTGCTGCTCCGAGGGAGGCCCTTCCTGCTTCCCTGAGAGCCTCAGTGCTGTGGTGGGTGACAGCTGACTGCCACATCAACACAGCGGGCAGACAGTGGGTGCAGAGGACATGGGGATTCATCCTCTGAGCACCTAGGGGTTCACTTTTGCCATGAAGGCCAGGGTAGTCAGACAGATTTGCAGAGGAGCATGGGAGAATGAAGTGATCTTCAGATTCTAGGCAGCCCTGTTCAAGAGGACTAAAGTGAAACTGCTTGCTACGTGGAGGAAACAAATACTTGTTGCACTCGTGCTGTGATGGAGTTACTTCTGTGTTCCTGAGAAAGTAGTCATTTTTGTTATGGATCTGCTCACTCGTCCTCTTCCCCCTTGCATGGTGATTTTTTTAACGAGTACAAATTAGAATTAAAACAAAAAATTACAAGTGATACAGAATTTCACTTAACAAAGTTATACTCATTTCACAGTATTTGTGTTTTTTGTTATTTGTTTTTTTTTGTGTGTGTTTTTTTTTTTTGTATTTTAGAGAAGGGTCTACAGGGTATTCAGAGTCTCACTACTAGATCAGACTCGTAGTGATCCTCCTATTTACAGCTTCCCAAGAGCTGGGATTATAGATGAGTGCCACCACGCCCAGTCTCAGTGGCCATCTTGGCGCGTCCTGGGGTGGGGCTGGCATGGCAGGCCCGGGGATCCAACCCCAGGCCCCTGAGTATGCTTGCAGGCACTTTAATCCACTGAGCTATTTGGCTAGCCCTTCACAGTATTTGTTTTAATACACAGTGTTGTCCTCCCTCCAATTACTCATATTAACAATTATATGCATGTAAAATTGGAAGAAGAAAGAACAAAACAAAGAAATTAAGAGAAAAAGTACAAACAATTGAAAAAAGGAGACAAAACAAATTATGTCCTATCTACTCCTGTCCATAGACGGCAGAAATGCACAGTACAGTTGTCTAAACCATCCTGCTTACATACATAGATCTATCTCTTTCCTCCACTTCCTTCCTGTCCTTCTCAACTCAGTAACTCTTCCTTTAGAATAAATTCACCCTGGTTACAATACGATGTTTGCACATGTGGGTCTGATTTTATTTCACTTAAGAGTATGTTGCATCCACTTACGCTGATACTGGGAAAAGAGAACAAATTTATTCAACAGGAAGAGTTACTGAGTTGAGAAGGACACATTCACAGAGACACATTCACAAACACACACATGCATTTGCACACACACATTGAATGCAAAATAGGAAAAATAAAATTTGAATACATTAAATTCCACCTCTTATACTGTGTCTCAGTTACTCTTCTCTTGTTGCTGGGACAAATACCTGACACCCAAAATGAAGGAAGGAAAGGTTTATTCAGCTCACAATTAGTGGAAGTTTCAGTCCATACTCTGCTGGCTCCAAGGTAGAGTGACACACGGCAGAAAGCATCTGTTCACGCTGGCAGCAAAGAGCAGGAGGAGCCAAGGGAGGAGTGGTGGCAACAATGGCAACAGAGAGCGTCTGTCTGCCTCTGTTATGTTACGTTCAGGCTATCCACCTGAGGCTTGGTGTCATACATCCATAATCCCAGCAGTACTAAGACCCATAATCCCAGCCTTGGATTACCCATAGTCCCAAGAGGATCATGAGTTAATCTCGAACTCTAGAAGTCCTCACCCCATGACTGCATGAGGCTTTGGAAGGACACCTAGACCCAAACTGAAACATACTGTCTTCAAAAATTGGTCAATAATAATGTTAGACCCTGGACCCAGATGATGTTTCAGGATCACATGAAAATTAAATTCCCACATTGTCCTCCTGTTCCCCTCTAATTTCTCAGTTGAAGTAGTACTTGGATAATAAAATGGATAGTAGTAGGAACTGTGTGTTAAAATGAAAGATGAAATAATATGCTTTGCTTGAGACTAAATTAAGTCTTGTCTTTATGAGAGATGTGTATGTTAATGATATCTGATCACTATTTTTAAAATATATATTGTTTTGAAGATACTATTTTGTTTAGTTCCCACATTTTTAAGTGATTATCCTCCAATTTGAAATAGCTGTACTTAAAAGTAATCTGCATACTGTACCCTAGAGTTACAATCTAGTTAAATTATATAAGAAAAACTCTCATTATTTGAAATTACCTAAACATAGTGTAAATATAGTCTTTGCAATTTTTCTAATTAGTTATTGGAAGAGATTTAAAAAATGAATCCTATAATTGAAAAATTACTTTATGTATCATACAGGTTCCAACATGGTTCTTCCTTTTATAGTAAAAAAAATTGTAATAAATAACTTACGTTTAATTCATAAGTCCTGTTCCTGAAATTATGTTCTTTTAATTTTCTTAGTACTTCGAAAATGTAATGGCATTTTTTTGACATGGATTGTAATTTATTTGAAATTTATGGATTATTCTGGAACATGCTACTATAGAGTTGGATTCTATAATTTTGTTTTTAGTACTTGCTAAAGAACATCATAAACCTCATCTAAGAAGATTTAGTTATAACAGTTCTTGAAAGTTCCTTTCTGTTCTGTTTTATTGTGTAGCCCAGGTTGGTCTCAAACTCATGGAGATACTTCTGCCTCAGTCTCCTGAGTGCTGGGATTACAGACCTGCATCTCCACACCTGGTACATGGGTGTATAGCATATAAGAATCATAAAGCTAGGATTTATATTTTTTATTATATTTAAAATGTGCCGAAAAAGATACCAAAAGAAATAATTATATTTAGAAATTGAATTAGACAAGTATATACATTTATAAAGGAATTGAAAAATACATTGTATATTGCATATGGTATGGATGAAATTGCATATTATTATGCAGAGATTCCTGGGTTTAAGTTTTTTGTATTCTTATTATAAAGTATTAAAATGAGCTTTAAACATACAGGTATTTATGGGCAGCCCTTTGTGTGTGCTTAAACCTACATGTGAAATCAGTATACAGAAGTTTTGAACTATAGAACGCCCCTTGCTGTTGTGTAAATTATCTGAAGTTTGATTGTTTAGATACTTTGACCTTCTTTTGTAGGTGAAGAAACTGAGAGGACTATGTTTTTTGAGTAGCTGGACCAGTGTTAAAGAAACAGAGCTCTTGGTGTCTCATGGCATCCTTTCTGTCTCTCTTGGACTAGTCTACTAAATTTTATGGATAGGCTTAAAGGATGGTGTTATTTTAATTCAGTTCATATACTCTTAATACTTGATGACCTCTGTTGACATCTGCATGCATACACAGAGCCCCCTACCCAAAGAAAGATGTACGATGGATAGCATGTCTTCAAATCATGTGTGATACTTGAGATTTGTTGAAACATTGGGAAGTGGGGACAGATACGATGGGAATGTAGATGAAAGGGATCAGCCATGAGCTGATAAGTATAAGAACAGGGTAGTGCGTGGAGTTTTATTATACTGGAATTTTCTACTTTTGTGCAGGCTCGATACTTCTCATTTTAGCATGTTTTTTATCCTCCTCCTCTTCGTCCTCCTCCCCCTTCTCCTCCTTCTCTTCATCCTTTCTTCTTCTGAGAATTGCACTCTTTTAACCAGTAGGTGGCACTACATTGTCACCTTGAACATAGGTTGACAGTGGCTAAGTGGGTTTGCTTATGATATTTGACATTCTAATATTTCTCTAAAAGTATTCTTTGCTTTTGGTAAATACGAGTCAGCAGTGTAAACCATTTATTAAAATTTTGCCGGTCTTATGAAATGATAGTGACAAAATTCCAGTATTGACAGAACTTGACAAAACAGCATACTGTTCTATATTGTATTACAATCAGGATATTTAGTACTCATATTTAGAACAGTGAAAACCTTAACCTAACTCTTCGTTAAGAATTATGAATTAAAGGTTCATTTTTAAAAAATATGACAGGGCTGGCGAGATAGCTCCAGTGGTCTAAGCGCCTGCCTGGTCAGTGCAAGGACCTGGGTTCAATCCCCCGTACCACATGCTGTGCCAGCCCCGGAACCCCGGGCACACCTGAAACTGGGCATGGGGATGCATGTCTATAATCCCAGCCCTGGGGAGATTGAGACAGGAGGATCACAAGGAGTCTGAGCTATGTAGTGAGACCCTGTACCAAATACATAAATAAATTAGATTTAAAACATTAGTAAAAAAACAAAAATACTAAGATACATGGAAATAATTATTGTATCTGATAATAAATTTGAAAAGTATTTTAGTTCAGTAACAAATATAACCAACCTCTTCAACCTTTTATTTTATTGGTACATGTTTTCAATACATGAAGTTTACATTTGTCTTAGGGAGTAAGTGCATGAAAATAACACGTCTTGATAGTTTTTTTCTTTCCCTTTCCTACCCCATTCACCTCTGCTGCTCTCTGTCTCAAATTTAGGTCCTCTTTTCTCATTTTCATTGATTCTATTTCTCATTCATACTTACTAACACAGTGTCTGTGTCCATTGTGGGTATTCGGTACATGTACCTGACACTTACTTAATTTTTTTACTCCCCAGCCCCACTCCTAGACACTTTCTTCTTTACAAAAGGTGGTTCCTTCTGTCAGTCATTTGTTTTTATTTTTATTTGTACTTGGACTTAATGGGAAATACCATGTGGCACTTAAACTTGTGCCTCTGGTTTACTTCACTTAACACTGTATTTTCCAAGTATATCCATTTTTCTACAAACGTCTCAAATGTATCCTTCTTAATAGTGAAGTAGTATTCCATTACATATAGCTATCACATTTTCTTTATTTGTGGGTGGAACTTATAGGCTGCCTCTATGGCTTATCTATTATGAATTGTGCTGCTATAAACATTAGTATGCTCTTTTAAGAAGGTATCTAGGGGTTCAGAGATAGCTCAGTAGAATAAGCACTTACCTGGCAAGTGCAAGGGTCTGAGTTCAATCCCTGGTTCCGAAAAAAAAAAAAAAAGGTATCTAGACAGGGACTAGCTGGGTCAAATGGTATTTATAATTTTAGTTCCTTGAGAAACCTCCATACTGATATCCATCATGGTTGTACTAGTTTATATTCCCACCAGTAATAGAGAAGGGTTTCTTTTTCACTGCATTATGCCAGCATTTATTGTTTGATCTCTTAATGAGTGCTGTTCTTTCTGGACTAAGATAAAATCTCATATCATTTTAATTTGCATTTTTCTAAAGACCAGAAATGTTGTATTGATTGGCCACTTGTATTTCTTCTGAGAAGTGTGTGTTCATTTTACTTGTCCAGTTTTTTTTGAGTAGGTCTTTTATTTGTAAGTGTGATCCCCTAATTTTGAGTTCTTTATATATTCAAGATGTATAGAATTCCTCTGTCTCAGGAATAGATGGCAAAATTTTTTCCATTCTGTAGGTTGTTTTCTTTGCTGTACAGAAACTTTTAAATTTGATATAACCCTTAATTGATTTTGCAACATCTTGCTTACAGGAATGGTTTGCAGTATATGTGGAGCTTAATCAGCAAATTGCAGCCCTCTTGAATGCTGGAGATGAGGAAGATCTTGTGGAACTGAAGTCCCTGCAGCAACAGCTTAGTGATGTTTGTTATCGACAGGCCAGTCAGCTGGAATTTAGGCAGAATCTCTTACAAGCAGCTCTAGAATTTCATGGTGTTGCTCAAGATGTAAGTGTCTTCTCTGATTGTTTTTCTTTTATTCAAATGATCTGAACAATCTACACATAAGTTTTGCAGGTTTGCATGCCTTCTAATTATTTTTTTGAAAAATAAAATAATACCCTGGTGGGGATAATGAAGTAAAATTCTTTGATTTCAAGAAATGATGTCATTCTGCATGCAATTAAATCTTTTATTGTCTAACTAGATTGCTCCAAAGTAGTGGATACATTTCATTTTGACTTTCACAGCATGTATGCTTTTTAACACAGATACAAGTGTCAATAATTTTTTGCATTTCACTGACCTGTGCGTCCTCTGTCCTTCTGATGCATGCACGTGTGTGTCCCATCTTCCAGATAACATGTATTGTGATGATTTGTCCCTGTCTCCTAACAGCATAGTCCTTCCCAGTGTAACTGTGATGATCTCATTAGATGAACCTCATTAATCATTAAACTCTGTAGATGCCGATTACATCAGGGTTATCTCTTTGGTGTCCCTCTGCTTTAGTTGTCTCAGCAGTTGGATGGCTTATTAGGGATGTTGTGCGTAGATGTAGCACCAGCTGATGGAGCATCGATTCAGCAAACTTTAAAACTGCTTGAAGAGAAGCTGAAAAGTGTTGGTAAGCAGATTTTAAAAATGCTGAAACATAAGAGTTCTTTTAAAAGTATCATGACATAGTTGAACAATTAAGTCAGCTTATATTGAACTAATTATTACTTGTAGGGAACACAAGAAAAAATGTATAAAAAAGGTTTTACTCCCTTGACGGGTATATCTGTACTAAAAATTTTAGTTCTCATTGTAGGTCAGGCACTCCTCCCTTCACTGGGCCGTTAGCTTTTTTGTTTACTCAGCCATATCTACAGGTGCTATGTCTTGCATATCCAAGGAACAGTTATTTGTAGTGCATGCCTAAACTGTAATTAGTTGTGAAGTGTTCTGTGGTAAACCCTGTATGCCCTACAACATGTTATGCAATGATTTTTGTTGTTGCTATACCCTAACCTTGTGGAAAAATGATTGGTTTGGCTCTGTGCACTTGTTTCTCCACATGGGGAATATTGTCATGGTCACATAGTTGCCAAGGGAGGAACGGTCTGATGGCACTAAGCTAGCTGTTGCTGAACAGCTAGGCTCCTTGCACGTGTCTTAGAGTAGGACTCGCAGGGACTGCCCCCAGCCGGAATATAAAAACGGAAAGGGGATGTCCACTGAGGGGAAGAGGAGACAGGAAGTAAGGATTGAAGGCTAAGAATGAGCAGAAAGTGGTGAACATGATTGAACCACGTTAATTATGGAAAGCAACTTCAAGGAATTATTTTGAAAAAAAAATAATTTTTATTATTTTACTAGCTTATAACCTTTGATAATTTAACTGATTCGATGCGTACTACATATTTAATATGGCAGATAAAATTTTTAAAATAGCAGTTTTCTTGAGCCACGTGTTCTTTAAAAAAGACATCCTGTGCAGCATGTATCTAGCTTGGGGTCTTATAGACATGCTCTGTGTGCTGCTTCACATGATGCCTACATGGGACTGCACCCTGCTTACAGTGTTCGGCCCCCTTCACGTTAGTGACGCACGGTTGGAATGTTCCGAAACCTCGCAACTCTTACACTTGTTTGTGTGTGGTATTGGGAACTGACCGCAGCAGGAACTTTACCACTGAGCTGTGTCCCCTTCCCTCTTTCAGTTTTCATGGACTCAGGGCGCCACTAAATTTCCTGGTTGCTTTCGTTTGTCATCCTTCTTTGGCTTCTGAGTAGCTGGCATTATAGTCATGTTTTGTTTTGTTTTGATACTAGGGACTGAACCGAGGGCCCTCTCATTGAGTGGCATCTTCAGCTCTTTTTCTTTTTTTCTTTTTTTCAAGAGAGGATTTTAGTGAATTAATAAATTGTTCATACTGGACTTGAACTTGCCATCCTTCTATCTTAGCTTCCCATAATGGTGGTATTACCGACATGTGTCACTGTGCCTGGCTTCAGGCATGTGTTTTTTAAACAAAATATTTATATTAACATCCTCAAATTTGAAATTCATGAAAGCAGAAAAAGAAAAATATGAAAAAAACCCATTATTTGTCAAGATAGAAATTGGTCTACTTCCTCTTTCAGTTTTAAGATAGTGTTATCTTTGGAGATTCGTGTTTTGAAAATTCTCTTTAGGGAGCATTTAGCAGGAGAGAGAGCTCTAATTTGTTCCCTACTTAAAGGGTTTATTTTATTAACAAACGAAAAGACTGATCACTTTTTCTGAGTTTTGTTTGTTCATAAAACAACAGTACTTTTTATAATTATATTCTATTTTTCATGTGCGTTCTGAGAAATTTTGTGTTACAGAGTAGTATATATGTCATGTATATTGTATAACGAGTTCCAGACAGGTTTTACTGACAACATGATTTTAAGAGTAACTTTTTCGTTTTGAATTTTTATATAGGTGTGAATGTGGCTATTGTAACTATGCATTAGATCCAAAGAATGTCTGAAGGCCTTGGTTAGTCTTTAATGATACCCCAGTATTTGGTTTTGAGGAAAATAAATGTGAATTTTTTCAGTGAAAAAAAAAATAAAGGGTTTACTACTTGAGGTGTTTGCTGTTCAGAGAACTCCATTCCACCATGGTTTACAGTATGAAATGTTTATACCTAGAATCCAAGTGCAGCATCTGCTGAGAGGATTTGTGGGAGGGACTATAGTGGTTTAAGAGATTACATACAGTAACTTTTGTTTTAGACGTAGGATTGCAAGGTTTGCGTGAAAAAGGTCAAGGCCTCCTGGATCAGATCTCCAATCAGGCGTCCTGGGCCTATGGAAAGGATGTGACCATTGAAAATAAGGAAAATGTGGACCACATACAAGGAGTGATGGAAGACATGCAGCTTAGGAAACAAAGGCAAAGTCTGACTGTTGATGTTACATTTATCAAGATACATAATGAAATAAGAGTTACATATTTTATATTTTGCATACAAACTGAAAGTTCTTACTGCCTATATAGTAGGCATGTAGTAGGTTTGTGGTAAATGCATATTGTAGCTAATAATTTTGTATATAATTGTACCAACAAATTGTTGGTACAATTTGTTCAGTTAATGAGTACTTCTCCCCTTTTTATTTGATAGTAAGAAATTCAGTTATACTCAAGTACTTCAAGGGAGAAATGTGTGTTCGATTTAATTTAATTTAGAGCTGTGAAACCTGTCATCTCTGTCGTTCTGTTTTTGTGTCTCATGTCAGATATCCATTGTTCTCATGTAGAAAGATTGGACAATAGGCTGAAGATGATGTTTAGTTTCATTTGATATAGAACTTGGAATTTAAGGGATTCTTTGGAAACTCAGTTTACAATAGCAACTGCTATTACAAAGCCAAAAATTAATTACAAAGTAAAAGATTAACTTTATACAGGCAGGTGTGTGTCTGTCATGATTGTGTGAAATGCTCTACACACAGAAATTTCAAGTCATTGACAGAACCTCACAGAAAACGACAAAAGGCAGTCAGGTGACCAGTCCTGTTCTTGCAGACTCAGCACTGTCGCTTTAAGCCCGGTTGCTGAGTGGACTCATTCCCAGTACTGGCACATCCCAATTTCTACCTGAAGCCTGCCCTCTCTTAAATGTTTTGCTCTTGTATGAGTCATAGTGAAAAAGTACACATAGGTAGTTATTATAGTATGAGGTATACCTTCTCCAGGTGCCTGATTTCTAGCTTGAGCCTTCTTTCCTGAGAGTAAGTCACTGGCAGGTCTGATTTGCATTCTCAGCACCTCTGCTTCCTTTTGATCGGCTTCAGTCTGCCTGTTCTACCCTTGCCATGTCACTCCATTACTCTCACTGGTGTTACCAGTAACTGTCGATCACCATGGGTGAGAAAACCAGAGCCCAGAGATGTGCTCTGTTCTAAAAAGCACTGGACACAGCTGGCCTCCTCTCTCCACCACGCTCCCTGCCAACCCTGCCTTTCTTCAAAACACTCTCATGGTTCTCTTTCTGTTGCTCAGTTTCCCCTTGTGTTTTAGTTTTTTCTTTGATGTTTTTGTCGTCTCGCTGAAGTCACTTTTTTCAGAGTTTGAGCCTAAATTCTCTTTACTGTGTGTTCAGTCTGGAAAGTTTCATTGTTTTGATAACTCTTAAAATGACCATAGGTTGGGGCTGGAGAGATGGCTCAGTGGTCTAAAGCACCTACTTGGAACAAGCTTGGCAAAGCACAGGGCCCTCGGTTCTATCCCCCAGCACCACATGCCAGCCAGCCCCGCCCCCTGGTGGGCTGAGCTGGCCACACACACACACACACATACACACACACAATAAATAAATATAAATAAAAAAAAATTAAAAAAAAAATGACCATAGGTCATGTTCAGTAGTTATGGCTTTTACAAAGACCTGTGTTATAAACCTGTATTTCAGGTTGCCTGTTTTATGTCCAGGTAGAAATCCCATGTACTTTGCAAACCTTTGTATATCCAAATTAGTATCATTTTCCTCCAAAACTTGCTATCTTCTACTTTGACTTCAGGTTAAAGTACCTCAGCTACCAAACTTAAAATTTATCCTGACATCTTGCATCCCCTTCATCATTGACACACAATCAAATGACCCATCCCTGTTGTCGTAAGATTGTTAGCTCAAGATTTTACCTCTTGTCTGCATCTGGCCCTGTTCTTCTTCAGTGTGTTGTCCACTAATCTGCATGCAGGATAAAGATTATATAAATCTGCTTCTGTGACTTTTCTACTTTGTTCAGATTAAGCTCTGTCTCCCTGAAATAGTATAACAGACTATTCATCACTCAGTCCTTTATAATCTTATTTTCTGTATCTTGCCCAGAGAATCACACCATTGTCTTCTGCTTCCTTGAATGCTGTATGCTGTTTCATATGTCCATATGTTAGAATACTTCTTTTTCTTAAGTTGTGCATCAGTGGATTCTTATTTTTTGAGAGTAAGGGATGCCTCTCTTAGGAATCTTTTTAGGATTTCTGAGGCAAGTGAGTCACTTGCTCCTTTCTAGTCCCATAAAACCTTTTGTATTATTGCTCCCTAATATCATTTATCCCATAGTCTGTTTAAAGACCATCTCCCAAAAATGGAGTATCTCATTAATATAGACTGTCTCTTCCTTTTCAATTCCTAACACATCATCTTTATCATTAAAGAAGCCTTTTTTTCAGTTTCAGATTTAAAAAATAATGATTATCTCTTTCAGTCCCTGTAGATTTACTTAAACCAAGTTTCATCATAACATTAAGACTGTGACTTTTATTAAGAACATCTTTTAAAAATCAGCCTTGTAATAACTACTTCCATGTTGTTAATAAGCTTTAAGAATATTGGCTGTAGTAGGAGCCCAGTGCCTGTTGGGTAACTTACTATTGATATTTGGCACTGCAGCAAGAGTGCCCCTTTCCTCCTCCTGTGCATGGAATTGATTGGGAATGGAGGAGATACATCTAACCTGAGACCAAAGATCAGACACCTTTAAAGTCTTACCTGTGTATTATTGAGGCAGACACTATATTTAGAGATTAGAAAATGCTCTAAATTGTGTTTATTTCCACCAAAGGTCAATGAATTTCCTGTAAGACCATCTCCCAAAAATGGAGTATCTCATTAGTATAGACTAATAATGATGTAAATGTAATTTTTTAAAATTCAGAATTAAATACTATTCTGAATAATACAACTTAGTGAAAAAATGTTATGTTAAAATTTTTTCCTTAGTGTTTGAGAAACTACATTTTTATCTTTGAATTTTGTTCAATGCAGATTGGCAGTGGAAGGTTCTTTGGGCTTTAGTATGCTGTTACATTGATGCTTTGCTTCACTATTTTACAGAGTCCATGCTATCCTCAGGAGGGTTTGTCATTCAGTATAATTCAGGTATTTTGAGGTTTTGGTGTAACATAGATAATAGATTAGATGTACTTAAAATTCTTATCAGTCAATGCAAAATAGTTACCATCTCTATAGTGTAGGACTAAGCACTTTAGTATACTGTAAAACACAAGATGGTATTATACAAGTTATTAAAACTGAAATGAGGAACTAAATTTATGTTTGGGTTCACTAGATGTGAAGACATGGTAGATGTACGAAGGTTAAAGATGCTTCAGATGGTGCAGCTCTTTAAATGTGAAGAAGATGCTGCCCAGGTAAGGACCGGTCAGCCACATCATATGGTTCTTAGAAGACTGATTTCATCTTATAAACAAAAGTATACTGCATATAGTCCTAAGAGAATAAATTGTTTAAGTCAGATTCTAGATTATTCTGTTGAAGAATACAGTTTGTTATCCCAGCTAGTTTACTGACCTCATAAGACTTCTCAGTGAAATCCTTTACTGAGCTGAGATTGGGAGTAATAAATAGTTCCTATTAGTGACTAGGTCGTTAGTTATATCTGAGTAAAGGGTAATAAAACACCTTGCTTTCTACCTACAAGATACTTGCCAATACCAGATCAGCAACTTGACGTCTTCGTTTAGCTAGCTAGCACCGAACATCATCTTACCTTGAGGTCGAGGGAATTTATGATTTCATGTAACAGCATGAATTTGTAAAGAGTCCCAGTAGATCCGTATTATAGAACTAGGTGATACTATGTGATATTAAAGAGAATGCTTCTCTATAGTTGTTTTTGCCTTTAGATTAAAAAAAAATTGAGAAGAAAAGGTCATTAATTCACATATTGCATTGAATGAGCTAGCTATTTTAGGAACTTAGGTAATAGTTAATAGATTCACTGATTGGATAATAGGAATATTTGTGTGAAGTTAATGTTTTGTCATGACAAGACTTGTGAGCCCAGCCCCACTGGCATGTTTTCATCCAGGCCGTCGAGTGGCTGACTGAGCTGCTGGATGCTCTTCTCAAGACGCACACCAGACTGGGAGACGACGCCCCAGAGACAAAAGTGCTCCTGGAGAAGCACCGGAAATTCGTCGATGTCGCCCAGGTGCAGTGCTGACTGTTTTCCTTTCCTGCAGGCTCAGTGTTTGCGTAACTTGCTGCATGACTGTAGCGTGACTGAACCCTCCTAGTCAAAGAAATGTAGTTTTGTTATTCCAGAGAAATGACTGAAGAAAGTGCCAGCTATTGCATCCAAATCTAGCCTGTATAAATGTGAGAGGGATTGGGGCTCCAAAGCTGGCTCTGTATGCTCCCTCCTTTTATGTTAGACATTAGATTTCTTTAGGCCATCCAGCTAGTCATTGGCAGAAATTAGTATGACATACATGTTATTATCAATAAGTTAGAAACCTCACTTTCTCCATCTCAGTAGTGCTAGCATAGTAATATGGAATTGTTTGTGATGAGAAATATCTTACGTATTTTTCCTAGTAGATGAGTTTGCATTTTAATAATTGTATTTTCCTATATGGAATGTAAAGTCGCTAATTTTGCTTACTTGTGTTTTGGTTATTAATGAGCAGGCATTGTTTTTGGCCAGAAGTGCTTAGCAAAGTGAGACCTTGGAGAAAGCAAAGTAAGAGGAGGAAGCTTAAAAACTGGATTAACTAAAAATATTGTTTCCCCTCTATTCTTCATGCATGCAAATCCTAGCAATAGGGGCCCTGGACTCATTCAGCGTTGATCTGCTCCTCGTTCCTTCCACTCATTGCCCTCCTCCTCAGAGTCGCTTACAGTTTCACGTTTCCCTCCTCTGTTCTAGAGTACTTACGACTATGGCAGGCAGTTGCTGCAGGCCACAGTTGTGCTGTGCCAGTCTTTGCGCTGCACCTCTCGGTCCTCTGGGGATACGCTTCCTCGCCTGAACAGAGTGTGGAAACAGTTTACAATAGCATCCGAAGAAAGGGTGCACAGGTTGGAAATGGCTATTGCATTTCACTCAAACGCTGAAAAGGTTTGCTCTTTCTTTTCTTTCTCTCTTTTTATTTTAGTGTCATCTTACTACTACGTGTTGCACGTGTGTTTAAAAACGTGTTGACTCTAATATATGACTGATGTGTTTGGTAAGGCTTTACGTTAGTTTCATTGTTGACATTGTAAAAGATACAGCCAGCAGGCCTCGCTTAGACCTGCTTCTCTCCCCCATTGCCCTGAGAGCTAACTAACAGGGCTTCTGTTCCTGGCTCAGTGTTCATGATGGCAGGCGAAGAAACTGATTCCATAACTACTACTGATTATCAGCAAGTTTAAAAGCTCACTTTGAAATTTTACAATTTCAGTTGCAGATTGTCCAACTAAAATACTTAAGAAATCTTTTTTAAAGCTGTATTAAGGTACACTGTAGAATTTGCCATCCATGAGTTCAAGAAGCTAGTTCCAGAAACCAGTCATAAAACACTAAGTGATACTTTGACAAAATTTTAATGGATTTGTTTTCTTACATTTCAGTGAAAATGCATGGCATCCAGGTTTACTTTTTTTTTTTTTTTTGGTGGAACTGGTGATTGAACTCAGGCTCTTGCACTTGCCAGGATAGCACTTATTCTACTGAGCTATCTCCCCAGGTTTACATTTTTTCTTGGGAATAAACTTGGTTTTATAGTGAACTTTATATTAGTCTCCTTTAATGAGTGTTTGTCTATAGAGTATATAAAATATACTTTAAGATACAGCACACTCAAAGGACCTTAGGAGGTAAGCAGTTTCTGTCTGCGTTATAAAGGACAGCAATAGGAAGTGCCTAAAATTAGTATTTCTACCAGGTTTCTGATCTCTGCAGATCCATGTTTGGTTGAAATGGTGAAAGAAAGTATACAGGAGGGATTGTCTTGTTTACTGTTTATTATTTTTATTGATAAAATTTTTATTAATGGGCCAGGGAGATGGCTCAGTGGAATAAGCACTTCCCTGAAAAGTGCAAGGGCCTGAGTTCAATCCCTGGTTCCGCCAAAAAAACAAAAACAAAAAACATTAAAAAAAAAACAACAACAAAAACCCAACAAGGGGCCAGGGAGATGGCTCAGTGGAATAAGCGCTTCCCTGACAAGTGCAAGGGACTGAGTTCAATCCCTGGCGCCGCAAAAACAAAAATGTGTTAATATAAAAGTTTTAACATAAAAAGTTTACAGACTTTAAGTTTTCAGAGAACAGAACATTAAGCCTTAGGATCCTCCACTCTCAGGTGGTCACAGCGCTTGACCTGAAGGTGAGCACTGACCCAGTTTCCAACGCCATTGATAACTTTTTAGGATACTACTTTTAAAATGTATCTGCAAGGACATTTTAAAATGTAGAATTCTTTAGAGATTATGGAAGAAAAAATATGATTAAGTGTTTTTGTTTTTGTAGTTTTAAAGATTGAGCCCTGTGCTATATCCCTGAATTTTAATGTTTTATTTTTATTTTCAGACAAGATCTTGCTAAGTTGCTGAGTTCTGTGACTGTGCTTGAACTTGTGCTCTCCTGTCTGTCTCAGCCTCCCAAAATGTTGGGTTGACAGGAATGTGCTACCATGTGCAACTTGGTTAAAGACTTTTTTTTTTTTTTGGTGGAACCAGGGATTGAAGTCAGACCCTTGCATTTGCCAGGGAAGCACTTTTTCTACTGAGCCATTTCCCCAGGCTCCCCCCACCCTTTTTTGTTTTTGATACAGGGTCTCGTCATGTAACTCAGGCTGGCTTTGAACTTAATATGTAGCCCGGGCTGGCCTTGAACTCACAGCAGTCCTGTCTCAGCCTCTCACGTGCTGGGATGACAGATGTGAGTCACCATGTCTGGCTTGGCTAATGGCTTTTTAGTAGAAAATTAATGCTCCCACTTTTTCCTCTTACCGGGCCTTTCTTGCTTATAACTTTAAGATTTTATAATTTCACTGTGTGGACTTACTGAAGTTCTGTCATCAGATATTATTTTGCTTTTGAGTAGTCTCTTTTATACTAGTAACCATAAATATAACCAAAGCTATAAGCAAATTTTATAATACAATAATTGGAAAATACCTAAATTAATCTTGGAGTAACAATGAAATAAATAGTAGATTAAATGAAGCATAATGCAAGAAGTATCAAAATAAATGCTTGTTTTTCTTCTTCCCCAAACTCTGCAATTCTTCCTTAAATTTAAGTAGTGAAAAAGGAAACAAGATGGAAGACTATAAATGACTATGTATGTGAATGTATACAATATGTGAATATTTAATAATTATATGTGGATTATAACTAGTTAAGTCAGCATATATTATTAAATATGAAATGTCTAACTATATCTATTAGTTACATGTTTGTACTCTGTATGTTGTTTTTAACTTGCACGTTAATTTTTTTGCCATTCTGGGGGCTGAAGCAGGTGCTTATGCCACCGAGCTGTCTCCCCAGCCCAGCTGCATTTTAATTTTGAAGTCTCAGAGTTCCTTACGGACAGAGTCTGTATCTCATTCACATCCCCAGCTGCTAAATACATGTACTGTGTGGCGCAGTGGCTAGGGAGCGGCCGCCTGCTGAGTGAGCGGATGCCTCTTAGCACAGGTTGAGCTTCTTTTCCAAATAATAATGTGTTTTTTCCCTGAAATCACCATAGACCTGTTTGTACCCTGACTATGTATCATGAATAGGGACAATGTATTTCATTTTGTTATTAGAATTCTTGAGCCGACTTTAGAAGTCATAGTTGATTTTATACAATGATGCATAGAAGGGCTAAGAATAAAAGAGAAGCCCCTTTTCAGTTTGTTAAATTTGCATGAACTTGCTTCCCCTTCTGTGTCTCTTGACTGATGTCACCTTTTTTGTGGTTGCAGATTTTGCAAGACTGTCCAGAAGAGCCTGAAACTATTAATGATGAGGAGCAATTTGATGAGATTGAAGCAGTTGGGAAGTCACTTCTGGAGAGGCTAACTGTTCCCGTAGTGTACCCTGATGGGTATGGCCCATGATCTTACAATATGTTTTTTCTTCATTGGTGAGGTCTTAAAGTGAAACATGAAGGAGGGCAAGTCCAGTCAATTAACTTAGGTCCACATCTTCAGTTGGCTTAATCTAAAAAATTCTCACGCAGCTGTTAGCAGCAGTAACAGTTGGTGCTTGCTTACGTAAGATGTGTTCGTTGCATGACAGCTTTCCATACAGTCACTGCCTAGATGGAGACTTTGGGCTTCATACTGAAAGGAGAGGCATAGGAAAGGAACTGATATTTAGTGAACTCGGGACATTTGCCAGACACCAAGCTGAGCACTTCTTTATTACTTGTTTTTTTGGCAGAAGGTCTTGAGCCCAAGCCTGTGTGCAGTCATGCTAGTGAGCCATGTGCGCTAGTGAGGAAGCACGCTGGACAAGTGTTGTCCCACTGAGCTACACCCCCAGACTTTAAAAAAAAAAGTCTTTTATTTATTTATTTATTTATTTATTTGGTATAGGGTCTCACTTCATAGTTCGGAGTCCTGGTGATCCTCCTGTCTCAGCCTCCCCAGCGCTGGGATTACAAGCATGTGCCACCATGCCCAGGGCACCAGGTGTCAAACTCTGGTCCTTACACTTGCCAGACAGGCACTTAGACTGCCGAGCTATCTTCCCAGCCACCCTCAGACTTTTAATTTTTTTATTTCGAGACAAGGTCTTGCTGAGTTGCTCATGCTGGCTTCCAGTTTGGTCTCCTCCTGCCTCAGCCTGTCATGTGGTAGTTGGGATTGTAGGCATGTCATAGCTTTCTGTATTAGGACCTTCCTGTCCCTGGGACACGGTATCTGACATGTAGGAAGAGAGGTTTGCTTTGGTTCAGGCCTCAGTCCATGCATGGCCAGTTGGTTGCAAGACAGAAACAGTGTGGGCATGGTAAAAGGCCATGGCAGAGAGCAGTGGCTTGTTCTGTGGCACTGGAAGACGGGGAGAGAGGAGCCAGGGCAAGAACACACCCTTTCAGGGTGCAGCCCGTGCTCCAGTGACCTCCTCTGACCACCCCTGCACCGGCTAGCAGCTCTGCTTCTGTCAGCTCGGTAGTGGACTGAATGACATGTGCAGCAGCTGCAGTCCAGCCCTCTCCTGCAAGCTGTGCTACTGTACGTGAGACTTGTGGGGGACATTTAGATCCAAAGCGTACCACTTGGTAACCGTCTCCTCAGCCTGAGGAGCATCTGCAGCTGCAGTTGTGCGCTGCTGTACCGAGCTGACCATCATTACTTTTGCCCAGGCACTGTCAGACCAGTATTCTTATTCATGATTTAAAAGTGAAGAAACTGAGGTTTTGAAAGTTAAGTATGGTGACTCGAGCTTCCCAGTTTCAATCTTTCTGTGTTAGAGTTAGGTCTGACCTCAAATCTGGCTGGATCCACACCATTCTCCCTTTGCTGGGCCGTGTGATGTCTGAGGTTTTCTTGCATACAGTCCGGAACCTGTTCTGCCAGCTCACCCACTTCAAGTGGTCAGTGGTGAGAATATGAAATAATTCAAAGCGAAGTGTGTGGATTAGTGAAGAATAAGAAGGAGCTTCATCGGTGGCGGCCTAGGCTCTCTCAGTGACAGCGACTTAGAGATAACCCAGGAGACATTTAACTCAAGTAGTGGCAGCAGGAGCACAAGTGTCCTTACTTTGTGGCAGAGTATGAAGGAGGAGAACATAGACCAAGCACAGCCCAGCAGCAGAGCCTTGGGTGACCCCTCACCACGAGAGGCACATCAGAGCCAAGCGCGCAGGAGGTGGGCGGGGCAGTAGCAAGCACACGAGCACCTGCTTTTAATGTTTAGGTTGCTATTTCTTTATTCCATATATGTATTTTTTTAATTTAATAATTTTATTTTTTTGATCCATCTAATAGAGACATTTTTAACATTTCTATTAATAATTTTATTTTTTTTCCTTTGAATTTTTTTTTATTGGTACATTTTATATATACATAGTGATAGCATTCATAATAGGGGAATGGCGCCTTGCTTCAAACAATAGTTTCAAGCATTTTTTTAAAGATTTAAAATTTCTGAATTTAGTTCAACTTATAATACCACATTTCCAAGAAAAATGAACCTTTGCAAAGACATTTAAATAAAATCATACCAAGATGCACAAAAAATGAAATAGTCCAAAACTTCTAAAGAAAAAAATAATTAACACATATATATAAAAATATTAGCTATGGAAGAACAAAATTAAATAGCATCTTATTCCACATTAGAAAGAAAAAAAAAAGGACCAAGGTTGTAAGAAGCTAAATTAAAGGACTGAAAGAAAAGATCTGTTCTCTTTGGATTTCATACTTAGCAAACATACCTTTGAAAAGTAAAAGTAAGATTTTCTAGTTATACAAACTTGAAATATTTTTATACCTCCAGAAGTAGCATATAGGAAATAACAAAGAGCATAATTCAAAAGGCAAGAGAAGTTGCAGTATGTTTCTGGATGAACAATAAAGAGCTCTCAATATGATAGTTATGCAGGACTATATAAAAGATTTATTAGATGAACCCTTATTTAAAGGTCATTGCAGATTTCTATGAAACAGTACCAATCTTATGTTGGTTTATACACGTATTTTTTTTTCCATATATGTGTGTGTATGTGTGTATAAAAGACAGGGAAGAAGTAATATAAAGTCAACAGAAAATGGAAATACACTTTTTAAAGTTTCTAATACTAGGAGAAGATATCATACAATGTCTTTTAAATAACTTGTAAGTCAAAGATATAAATCTTAGAAAAATTAAGGTTAAGCAATATTCAGAAAATTAAATACTAATTAAAAATTAAATGTTTCAAAACAATTGAACTAAGAAAAAGTTTTCATGATAGCAAAGAAGTACTAGAGTAAAACATAAGATAAATACTGGAATGG